TAACATGCATTTGTGTGACTGTGTTGACTGTATGTGAACATGTGTGTGTGTCTATATGAATGTGACTATACAAATCTGAGTGCTAATGTGTTCGAGTGTGTGATATGCATGAGTGTGTGTATGAACGTATGTGTGAACATGAGTGTCTGAATGCGTTTGAATGAATGAGTGTGAAATGTTTGATTTTTCTCTTCTACCACACAGCTTCCTAGAAAAAATATCATTGTAGTGATTTCAGTGGGTTTTCAAGAACAGCACAGATTCAAGCAGAATCTATTCTTTTTCTTGTATATTTAGTCAAAGATGAAACTTCCAGGAGTCTGAGAAAACAGTTTGAAGACACATGTAATGGGAAGTCGGTTTTGCTTTCTGTCTTTTTTTGTTTTTTGTTTTTGTTTATTTTGTTTTTTTGTTTTTTGTTTTGTTTTGGTTTTTTTTTTGAGACAGACTTCCTCTGTGTATCCTGGCTGTCCTGGAACTCATTCTGTAGACCAGGCTGACCTAAGACTCAGAGATCCTCCTGCCTTTGCCTCCTGAGTGCTGGAATTAAAGTGTGTGCCATGACAGCCTGCCTGGAAAGTTCCTTTACTTATGTTCAGGTTTCATCGAATGGCCAAGCCAGAAGTTCACCTTCCACCTCTTTCCAGTCTGTGATGAAGCTTCTGTGTAAGGACCAGGAGTCTTTCCTCAGCAATTCTAACATGTTCGTTAATTTACCCAGAGTTAATGAACTCTTGGAAGATGACAAAGAGAAGTTCAACATTCCTCATGACTCAAGTAAGACAAGAGACACCTTCATTCTGTAGGTTGATTTGTACAATAATAACTGGGCCTGCATGGTGAGGTGTTCTTCCTGGGCTGACCTCTGGTGGCACATGATGGCACTGAATTTTAAGTACTCATTGTCAGGTCCCAGGGCCCTTGATCACAGGCTAATCTTCCCAGCCACTTCAAAAACCGAGTCTAAAAGATTTGACTCACCTGAAACTCCAGCCCCTTGGGTACCTAGGGTAAACAATGTTGATAACAGCCTTAGAGATCATTTCTTCAGTAGTCCAGTGTATTCCATAGCTGCTAAATACTTTATATAACTAGATGTCAAACATTGGTAGTGAAGACATATATTAGAGTTATTTAATTTTAATAAATTCTGTTTCTTCTTTATCTAATGATCATTTCTTTTTGTTTTTCATTTGGGAATCTTGACTGGTTATCCTTCCTTCATCCATATACCCTCTCATCCCATTCACCCATCATCCATCCATCATCCATCCATCCATCCATCCATCCATCCATCATCCCATCCATTCAGCTGTCCAGTTGGTTGGTTAACACTGAGGGACAATATTTGCTAATCATTTTCTGCATTTTTTTAAATGGTTGTCACAGAAACCATTAGACAGCAATGTATGCCTCACTTTTCAGAGAACATTTCAGAAGCTCAGAGAACATTAAATTGCTTAACTGATTTTTTTTTAGCTCAGAAATCACTGATGACTCTTGATTCGAGTTTCTTGCTTTATGTATACTATGATCTTTCCTAACAAGACCTGTCCTCCATCTCTATTAAGCTTGTATTTTAAAGAGCAAGTTATTAAACTAGAATAACCTCTACAGTCAATGATTCAAGGATTAATTTGTAGTTATATAGTTATCTTATATTTTAGGGGATAGTTTTATCAATTTTTTGGGTTTTGATAAAAGTATTTTTATGTTCAAGATATTTAAAACTATACAATTAACACAATGATCAAAATAGTACTCATCAAAACACATACCCCTGTGAATTATGACATAAGGTCAACATAACAGTGCTCTTTCAAGGCTTACCACATTTTGGCTAAAAGCACTGGTTATACTGATGTAATTATTACTGTTTATAAATGTTATAATAATTAATTACCAATCATTAGAATGATGAATTGCCTATGGATTTAGACAAGATAAGCAGACAACTTGTTATTGAAATCAGTTAGCTTTACAATAGGAACCACCGTAAGGAATTGTTTGAGTCAACATAGTATGATTTTATGTACTAAAAGTAGTGATTGTGATACTGTTATATGGATTATCAGAAAGAATCCAGGAGCAACTTGACAACATAAGAAAAAGGTCTTTATATTCTCAACATTATGATATTGAAGTAAGAATTTTCTTTATTAAAACCACATTAAAAATAATCCCTATTCTCTTTTTTTAATTGTCTGAGCCCTCACTATTAGAAACAACAGTCTGGAAGGTGGAATCTTGATTCTTCTTGGGGGACAAGGACGGCTAAGTCAGGAACATGAAAACTGGAGTACAGTTCAGAGATATGTCATCAAAATATTTATGAGTCATTTCATTGAAAATTAAGGCATAGTGGAAGTATATGCCAGTTTCAATGTTAGCTGGACATTATTTGCCAACTGAGGTCACCTAATAGTTTCCTCCCTCTTTTCACTGTGGCAGCACCATTTTGTTTGAAGCTTTATCAGGAAATTCTACAGTCTCCAAATGGTGCAGTGGTATGGTCTTTCCTAAAACCTGTATTACATGGGAAAATATTGTATACACCAAACTCTCCAGAGATTAATGAGGTCATTCAAAAGGTAAGTAACATTTTTTTAAATCATTCAACATACTGTATCGGGAAGAGATTGTTACATATGTAATGGAATTACTATATTCATTGTGTTACATAGCTTTTACACGTTGATTCCAGTTGGTCTTGTCCTGACGTTACCCTGTCATTCTTGATGTTATGTGTTGATTTGCTGAGCAATTTGCTTAGAGGAAGCTTTGGAGGGAGGGAGGGTTACTTAGAATCCTAATGCAGTGAACTCACTAACTTTAATATCAAAAATTGAGGACAATTACAAATAGGACCTTTTCAGGTCAGGTAAAGGGGCACAGTTCCAGGAAAACTTTGGGAATGAATTTAATCCATTTCACTTGATGCATCTGATACTAAAGAGAGAATTCAGTAATGCACCTGCAAACTGTTATCCTAAATCATGAGTCCCTACGTTGTGTCGCTTTGGATCACTCACCTTTTAGTATATTGTATAGCTTCTCCAGTCTCATTACTCAAAGACCTCCTATTAATACTTGCATTAAAAATTGTGTTCTACTGGGAAATTTCTTATCTTGTTTCTTTGTAAACAATCATGCTATATTTTCCTGGGAGTCATTTTTGTTTTGTTTTGTTTTGTTTCTTGGGAAGTTGTGAGCCTGCAGGCACCTTAAATGGTTCCTTTTCCAAAGACGTGGGGACAATTTGATCTTATTTTTCAAATACAGAAGATCCTATCCATGAATGACAAACTCTAAGCTTTAAGTACTAGTAGTAACTTAAAAGTACTGTGTGGTCATAGGACCAGTGAGTTATTTTTGGCTCAATGCACTTTCAAGAGAGCTAGACTTATTCCCCTTGAGACTGCTATGAGATGTCACAGCAAGCCTCCTGGGCACTTGCCACCTGCCACTTAGCCTGTGGCTGCACAGCCCTCCCCATGCCCTCTATAGTATTTATAAACTCAGCATTTCACTTTAAAATGCCCTCTAGGAGGGCTGTTTGGCAATCTCTAAGTTCCTATGATGGAATGCTAGCTGTCAGGAGACTTGACTAAGGCCTTTAGTAGCTACTCCATCTGAAGCTCTGTTCAAGGGTATCATTCTGCTGTCACACCTGGAAGAGATGCTTACACCAGCACTCTGGCCAAAGCCAATGCTAGGTGATTCCCTATGTGCACAAAACTTACTAAAGTCTCCCATAATTCAGGAATTTCATGGAAAATGTCTCTATCTCAGTTTATTTTTTTAAAAAATGGCTATGGATTTTTATACTAATATATATTAATGCCATTATTAACATATACTTATATCATATTATGTGCTGTGTTGTGTTTTTCACTGATGATAACCTCTTCAGAAATGTGGAAGAAAAGGCAAATAGCTAAGGAAACAAAAAATAGTATAATGTGAAATTCAACCAGTAATGTGGAGATCCAGACTCTTGGATGCAGGGTTGGAGGGGGATGCACATTATACTAATGTTCTCAGAATAAGGGCTTCAGAAGAACCAGACACGATCGTACTGGTTCTGGCTTGGCTGATAAGTGAGGCATAGAGATAGTATAAAAGAAGATGTCTACTCTGCTTGTTTACGTATCTGGAGACTGTGCCCTGTCTTGTTCTACCTAGTTAATGTCACCAGTAGCCATGTACTGTCTTGCATTTGCACTCATAAAGCTGACTTAATGCCATTGTCCCTTGGATAAATTATTCTTGCAGTCACCTATGGTCATTTAGTTTTATGAAAATTGGTTCTGGTCTTTAAACACAGGGTCACATGTCCCACACAGCCGAGAGATACTTGCTGCAATGCTATCTGTACTGGTGGAGTGACTGGAGCTGTAAATGGAAGCCATTCTCCCCATCACAGTGTTTCAGGCAGTGATGGATCACTCGATTGGTGGTGGTCTTATAAGGTTATAATGGAGCTGAGGAATTCTTACTGTCCTTTGGCAACATAGCTGTCATCAAGGCATTGCACAATGCATCACTCATGTGTTTGTGATGATGCTGATGCTTTGGCTAACACAGAGGACAGAGAACTGTGTGCACTGCGCTAAACTTGATACTGATAATTATGCTACGGTTTTATGTATGTTGTATACTATATGTTTACTATGATTTAAGAGTGTCTTTTATTTGTGAAAAAGCTTTAAAGCAAGCCATGTTCTGGCTGTAACAGCCCCATACGTCTTGTACTAACCATGTCTCTTGATTGACCGTATCATTTAGTTTCCTATCAATGCACTCTAAGCTGTGTGCACAACATGAACTGGGCTGATGATGACAATTTTCAAAGTGGATCTTCGCCAATGATGGACAGCTGTGGATACTGCTTAGTCTTAGCTTCTTGGTTATTTCTTATTAGGTAGAAATATAAAAACCTATCTATTTTAAAATTATTTTTAGTTTTATTCTTTAATCCTTTTTTTTGCAGTCCAGATTTCATCCCCCTCTTTGTCTGTCCCCTGACTGCTCCCCTTCTTATACCTCCTCCCCCATCTACAAGAAGATGTCCCCATCAGGCCTCCCCACTCCCTAGGACCTCAAGTCTCTTGAGGATTAAGTGCATCTTCTGTCACTGAGGCCAGACCAGGAAGTCCTCTGCTGTCTATGTGTCAGGGGGCCCATTATGAGCTGGTGTATGCTGCCTGGTTGGTGGCTCAGTGTCTGAGAGATCTTGGGGTCCAGGTCAGCTGAGACTACTGGTCTTCCAATGGGGGCTCCTCCTCCTCAACTTCTTCCAGCTTTTCCCCAATTCAACCACAGGAGTCCCTGACTTCCATCCATTGGTTGGGTGCTAGTATCTGCATCTGACTGTTTCAGCTGCTTATTGGGCATTTCAGAAGGCAGCCATGTTAGGCTCCTGTCTGCAAGCACATCACCACATCAGTAACAGTGTCAGGCCCCAGGCCCTCCTCTTAAGCTGGATCCCAATTTGGGCAGGGCACTGCACTTTCTTTCTCTCATGCTCTTCTCCATTTTTGCCCTTGCAGTTCATTCACACAGGAACAATTCTGGGTCAGAGCTTTTGACTGTGGGATGGCAACCCCACCCTCCACTTGATGTCCTGTTCCTCCACTGCAGGTGGGCTCTACAAGTTACCCCTCCTCACTGTCGAGCACTTAATCCAAAGTCATTCCCTTTGAGTCCTGAGAGTCTCTCACCTTTTAGTTCTCTGGTACATTCTAGAGGGTCCCCCCTCCCCGCCCACATCCTACCTCCTGAGGTTGCCTGTTTTCATTCTTTGAGCTGGCCCTTAGGGCATCACTCCTGTTATTCTCCTCCAATACCTGATCATGCTCCCCTCATTCCCCTCACTGTCTCCTCCCCCACTCATGTCCCTCCCTCCTTCTATTCCCTATGACTGCTTTCTTCTCCCTACAAAATGTGATTGAGGCATCCTCACTTGGGTCCTTTGTCTTGTTAACCTTGAGTCCTGTGGGTTATGTCCTGGGTATTCTGCACTTTTTTAAAAAATAATATCCACTTATATGTGAGTACATACCATGCATGTCCTTTGGGGTCTGGGTTAACTCACTCAGGATGACATTTTCTAGTTCCATCCATTTGCCTGCAAATCTCATGATGGCATTGTTCTTAATAGCTGAGTAGTATTCCATTGTGTAAATGAATCTCATTTTCTGTATCCATTTTGCCATTGTGGAGCACCTGGGTTGTTTCCAGCTTTTGCCTATCACAAATAAGGCCTCTATGAACATAGTGAAGCATGTGCCCCTGTGACACAGTGGGGCATCTTTTGGGTATATGCCCAAGATTTTTACAGGGAAAATATTAATGCAAATGGGTGATTTTCTATGATTCGATTTGTGAAACTGAGGTTGACAACAAAATTGCAATCTCTTGGTCAGGAAGGCAAGGTTTAAGCACTCCTCTGCCAAATTATGTGTGGCCTCAGGCTTACTGCTTCTCTTAAAAGTTCTTTTCTTCCATCTGAAAAATGAGACCTGGATGCCCACCAGACATATCACTCAAATCCTCTGTCCAAGCCAGGACAGGGCACAGTCCCACTGCTCTGTGTCTTCTACAGAACCAGCAGGACACGATTGGAGCAAGTGGGACCTGTGCTGAATTAGTGGCATGCACTGAGATATGAAGGTTTTTGTTTCAAGGCCAGCTGGATGACAGGGAGGAGGAGGTGCTGTTCAGACTGCTTTCTTAATTGAAATGTTTCCCTAGCATTGAGCCAAGTGTTCTCTTCTCTTTAGTCACAAGAGACCTCCTGGGACAGAGAACGAAGAATGTCTTTTTCATTCTGACAGTCATTTACTCAGAGGTCATGGAAGCAAATATTAGACTTTCCTATTTCTGTGGGCCTACTGACCTGTGACTGAGCAGATTTCTGCAGACCAAGGACAGTGTGCAGTGTGGAACAAGGTGGCTGATGGCCCATTTCCAGCTCTCCTTGCAGTCCAGGAACTTTCTATACTGGGATCTGTGCTGAGAGCAGGAGCCAGAGAATGAAAACCATGTGGATCCCTGACAACTGGACCCTCCTGCTGACTGTGGTCACATAGTGACTATAGTGTAGAGCCCTATCTTAAAAAAGACATCAAAGGATTAGTGTCCCTGCTTCAACCTCTTGACATCTGATCCCTGTGATTTTTACCTCTATCACCTTCTAAAATGATTGAAGTGAGTTTAAAATCTTCACTTGCTTGGCATGCTTAAATAGTCTTAACATAGTGAATTTTGTTATCTTTTCTTCTCAGTTATTGCAGTTTTCTGAGTACAGTGTCAATTTTGTTATATTCCAGGGTAATAGGAAGAGACTAAGAAGATAAAAAAAAAGCAGGGCAAGTTTAATATGGATAAGTATTACTATAAAAAGCATAGGAGTAAAAGAGGATTGGTCAGTAATAGAAAGAAAACACTGGGGACTGTGGTAATGGCAGACTAGCAAAGAATAGAACATGCCCTTGTGGAAGTAGCCTTTCTTCTCTGACTTGATTTCCAAACTGCATTGAGGAGAGCATAGCAGCAAACTGTAGAAAGGTACCTGAGCATCTACACT